TATTATATATATATATATATATATATATATTTTGACAGTTTATTTATTTTTATTTTTTAATTATTATTATTATTACTGATATTTTTCTTAAAAAAAACCCTCATCTGATTAATAATGAAGTCTTTTATCACTTTTTATTATTATAATCACTCTGAAAAATAAATAAGAATTAGCGACAAATAAATTTTATAGCTAAAACTCTGTTGCTTTAATGATGGATTATAGCGATAAATTATAAAAAAATATTTTTTTCTTCCTCTTATAAAACTATTTAATATTGGGTTGGTGATGCCATTAATCAAAGTAATTTTGGGTAGGCAAAATGTCACTATGCTTTGCTTCTTTTATAATGAGTAATTCCTACTGTGGAATTTTTTGATTGAAATTAATTATGTGACAAATAGAGTAATTAAATTTTTGTCTATTTTTTGCGTCCAATAAATATACATCTCAAAATTTACTTTTATACGTTTTGCCATTTTAACAAGAATTAAATGTACTATTTGAGTCTTTTAAGTGAATTATTAATTTATTTAGTGAACCAATCTAAATAAATATATATCCAATCAAGCAAATTAAAATTTTAATATTTTAAAAGCTTGATTAAATAAGTTATTAATTACTATCATTTCTTCGTAAGTTAAATCGAAAGACATAAATTTATTCACATCCAATATTTACACCAAATTATTTCTAATCTTAATTTTTTTTACTTAACAAACTTGAAGTAATATATAATAGATTCACAATTCACCTTTTTTGCTGCCTCTAAAAAATAAATAATATAAAAAATATATTAAATTTTGCGATTATATAAGATCTATAACCATTTTTTTTATTTCCGTCTGATATCTGACACTCATATAATGTCAAAATATCTCGCTTTGTAGGGACCGAAGAGGGGTAAAACTCTCTATTTAAAATAACTCGATTCCGAATTTAAACCAACCTATTATTAAGAATATAGAGATACTTATAAGCATCCCACCATAACAAATTTGTTACATAACCATTTTTATATTAACTAATCAACATATAAAAACATATATTCAAATTACTAAACGTACTTTGTGAATATTAATATCGTAAAATTATGATTATTGATCAAATTCAAAATTTCATGTGTTATATCATTACTTAAATTCCTACCAAATAATGAGACTTATTAAATAATTAAATTATTTTTTTTGCTTGTATATTTCATTTCCAAGTAAAATAAATTTGAGAGTCCCATTTCATATGTATAATATCGTTATCTTTATCTAAAAAGAGGTTAATAATGCATCTAATCAAGTCTTCTATTTTTAGTTATATCATAACATTATATGAAGAAAACCAAGTTGCAACTTCCATCAATATTAATTTGTACTTGAGCTGTTTTTGGATAATACAAATTAATATTGACTTTACGTTTGGTATACCGATAATGTCAATAATTTTTATATTATCAAATTAAGTTGACATATAATCGTATACACAAGTTCTCGATCATTAATCAGAGATCATAAATATAAACTTTAGAATAATTTTTTTAAAAAAAATATTCTAGAGAATACTTTAATGTATCCTAATATAATGAGGCATCTAGGCATGGATTAAGATTAATCGAACCACAAAATAGATATAAAAAAATAAAATAAAATTGGCATACAACAAGTAAATCTCCATGGCTAAATATTTTAAGAGAGACAATCCCAATTAACTTCTTTCACCTCAAACTATTGCTCATTTTAATGTAATTAAATATCGATTGCGGATAAGTTTTTATATCACATACTCTCTTCATCTATTTTAAATTTTTATGATTTTTCGTTTTTAGAGTCAAATTATAGAAATTTTGACTGACATTTGACAATATATTTTTTCGTCATATTGATATGCAAAAAATCAAAATTTTATAGTAATTTTCTTATAGTTTTTGAATATCTAATTTTTTTGTTTAAATTATCGCATTAATGTTATCTGATTCACCTTTAAAAATTAATCAAATTGACTTTCAAAAAGCACAATATAAAAATTAAAAATAGGCAAAAAGAGGTATAATTTAAACCACATCAATGAAGATAAAACATGGTCAATAAAGTATATTAAGATCTAATTAAAAAAACAAAAAACTCTTCTCATCCAATCCATCTATATCTTAGATGGATAGAATTACTCGATAGTTATGCTGATTAAAGATATATAATATATACTTTGTAAAATTAGTCAAACTGTAAATGTTTATTAAAAAAATAATTAAAAATTCCACTAAATTAAAACCAAAACTTGTTCTAAATGCAACATACGTAACAAAACACACTCCATTTCCACCCCCACCCAAATTTAGTAACTTAGACATTATTACTCTCACCCAACTTTAATTAATTAACATGCAAACCAAAAACTCAACAATTCATTATCTCCATTTTTTTTTCAACCACAAAAAAAATAAAAAATGAGAACACCATCATCATCGTCATCATCATCATTATCATCGAGAACTAAAATTGTAACACCATGTTGTACAAAAATAGGGTTAAAAAGGGGTCCATGGACACCAGAAGAAGACGAATTACTGATGAATTACGTCAGTAAAGAAGGGGAAGGGCGGTGGCGTACACTCCCAAAGAAGGCGGGACTCTTCCGTTGTGGGAAGAGTTGTCGCCTTCGTTGGATGAACTACCTCCGCCCTTCCGTTAAACGCGGACATATTTTGCCGGAGGAGGAAGATCTCATCCTCCGGCTCCATCGCCTCCTCGGGAACAGGTCCTTCAAAATTAATTTCAATTATATATATATCTGTATCTATATCTATCTATCTATCTGTCTGTCTATAATTATTTGTTAAGATTTGCTAGTTATATAACTAGGGTTTCCTTTATCTTGCGCGCTAACCTATGTATTTAATTTGTTTCACATCTGATGTTCGATATATTGTGTTGCCTCAAAAAAAAAGTCATTTTGGGAGAAATTAGGAACTTTACTAAGAATTGTTCAAAAGTAACTTTTTAACATATTTATATATATGTATTTTGGGAGAAATTAGGAACTTCACTAATAATTGTTGAAAAGTAATTTTTTAACATATTTGTATATATGTATATTTTTTTTTGGTATATGTTCAACTGACCATCTTTTCATCTGCTTGATTGATTAGGGTTTCTTTATCCTCTGTTGTGATTTATATATTTTGTTTCACACTCGATGTTTGATTATTTTAGTTGGGCTGAATAAATTTGGATTTGCGCTGAAAGGTGTGTCATGCATTTTGGTTAGAGATAAGGAACTTAAGATTTCGTATATGTTTATATTTATAGAAGCAATTTTTAATATATATTTTTAGATAAAAGATGTTCAACTGACCGATCACCTTTCAATCGACTTTTAGAGTTAAAACACAATGTCAAAGATAGATTCATTTCTCGAACTTGAATTTGAAATCTTTGATTAAGGAGCTAGCTGAAGAGATTGTACTTATCACTCCATCGTATAACCAATAACCTTTGGTGATTAATAATATCAACTTTAATATTTAGTTACATATTTTTTCACTCAACCATATGTTTTGTTCTGTTCCTTAAATGAGGTTTTATTTTTTCTTATTTTTCCATATGTTACCATATTATATTTGTTATGAAATTTTATCGACCCTTGTAAGTTAACTTAGCTTGATGGTGTAAAAATGCTATAGTGTAAAAACTTTAAATTCGTTTTTTTGATCGGAATTTTTTGTAGGTGGTCATTGATAGCAGGGAGAATTCCCGGAAGAACAGATAACGAGATAAAGAATTATTGGAATACCCACCTTAGCAAGAAATTAATCAACCAAGGAATAGATCCAAGAACACACAAACCATTAATATTAAACAACCCTAATTCCTCTAATAGTGATGATAATCACATTATTACAAACAAAGCTAATTCTTCTTCTCCTTCTTCATCCTCAAAACTAGCAAATAATTATAATCTCAACACAATTAATATTCCAAACCCCATTTACACTCCTAATTTCCAAATGAAAGAACCCTTAAGAAGTAGCATCAACAATAATAACTGTCCTGGAGAAACTACGAGTCCTGATGATGATTATCAGTATCAGAGCAGTAATGTGATGCTTGCCAATTATCGCGATGATGATATGAATATTGTGGTTCATGATGAGGGAGATGATGAAATGAATTGTTGCGCGGACGATGTCTTCTCCTCCTTCTTGAATTCTTTGATCAATGAAGACATGTTCATGAATTGCCAAAATCAACAAATCAATGGTACATTGCAAGATTTTGATCATTTTATGGCTTCATCTTCACCTTCATATGATCAAAATAATCTCAAGACAATGGATGAATAATGAAAGAATGTTTGATTTTATATATATATATATATATATATATATATATACATACATATC